GACATATGGGAGGAGCTAATATAACAGCATATACTATAACATATACATATTAAAATGTAATTGTGTGAAGCGCGCCGGGCTGTCCTACGCGCGTAAGACAGCCCGATGCACGCTTATTCGCGGATCTTTGGTAATTAAAATCTCGGTACCTATTGCAAATCTAGCAAAATGGTATAGGACTTTTCACCTCAGTTTTATTCCTTCTACCTGTCTACAAGAGATGTTAAACCAATTCTGGGACACCCTGTATATATATATATATATATATACAATATATATATAGCGCGACCGCGGTCAGTGACCCCGCCGCGGTCGCGCGACCAGGTCAGTGACCTCGCCGCGGTCGCGCGGCCAGGTCAGTAACCCCGCCGCAGTCACGCGACCGAGGTCAGTGACCGCCCCCCCCCAAAGTCGCGCGGCCGAGGTCAGTGACCCCCCCCACCAAGATCGCGCGGCCTCGGTCAGTGACCCCCCCAAGGCCGTGCGGCCGAGATCAATGACCCCGCTAAAGTCGCGTGGCCGAGGTCAGTGACCCCGCCGCGGTCGCGCGACTGAGGTCAGTGATCTTACTGTAGTATAATACATATAATACAATATAAAGTATAATATTATAAATATATAATAAATTATATGTATAGTATATATTATTTAATGTTATATGTAATGTAAATTACAGTCACGTTACTTTAGTTACATGTTGTTTTTCTACTCTTTCTTGTCACGTGACTTTAGTCGCGGTTTTAATTTTCCCCACGTATACGACGAACTGTCAAAATCGCTTTTATGTTATTATTTACTCTCTCGATTTTACCGATTTGATTCGATCTCGACTCGACTCGATCAACCAATCGGCAACGCGAAAAAGAGGCAACATACATAATTAAGATTTTATTTTGCAAAGTCTTTGGAAAAAACTACAAAACTTTCTCAGTTTGTAAATTTAATAAATTAAAAGATTTAGAGTTTGAGACTGTTTACTGTATAAAATAAAATTTGTGCATAACTTTGGCAAGTCTTGAATGTGATTTTATTCTTTACGTTAACACCTTTGTATCTGCTGTTTCAAAATTAAATTCGAGCAGAAATCGCATTTCGAATCCAATTCAAAGTTTTATGTTAACCTAGTTTTGTCACGTACGCAACGCGAGTTTCTCTTTGTTTAAATTAAATTGCGTGAAGTAAAGGTGAATAAAAATTTTATTAAAATTATCCTTTATAATCCTTTATGATTCCTTTGTTCGTAAATATTATAGAAAAAAGTAGAATTATAGAAATGTCAGAAATTTTCGCATTCCAATACAATTTTTTTCAAATAAATCCTTGCAACAAACAGATATTTACAAACATTACTCGAAATTATTACGAGATTTTTTTGTGATACACATTTAAAAACGTATCTATTCAAATTTAATACAGTGACAAATTGATTAAATGTATCGATATCTTCTCAGTTCTCGCTCTGTACGGAGAGTTGTTGCGTGAATTACGTTAATTGTCTTTGTCAAGGATGGAACGCTTCCGATAATAACATTTCGTGGGGTAGACGCGCGACCCTATGCGAACGGGAAAAACGATTGCCGACGAGGGTCGCGTTGAAATTACTTTTTCGATTACAAGCGACTTCAAAGGATTCGTTTTCCCGAGGCGTTGTCAACTAGGAAGGATTCTCGGAGTAAGGGCGAAATGAGAGAATTATGGCGGGGAGAAGGGTGGGGAATGGAGCGGTTACGCAATGCGTAATACTCAAGGGAGGGAATCATGTCGATTCAATCAGATTTGCCGTCTCTCATCGCGTCTTCGTAACAGGGAAAACGGGCGCAATCTGCTATAACACGCTCGGTTGATTATTATCCGTCAAAATCTCAGGAAATTTCGCGGCGATTTGACGATCCTCGTGTGCATAAGAAAATCCGCGAAATCTGTCGCTCGAGGAAAATCCGAGGAAGATATTTAACGGGCAAAATTATTATACGTATTATTACTGCAACTGTAGAAAATTGTTCTACATGTCAAAAGACTCGTTAGAACCTTGATATGTTTTATCGCGCAATGCGACTTGAGAATACCGAGAGAATCGATGAATCGCCTATTGACCTGTAGTCTGGAGCATAATGTTTGACAGGATTAATAGATACTCTCTCTCGTATTGAGAACGGCTCGAGGCGGCCTTCCTTCAATAACATCAATAACGTTAATTAACATATCAACGAGACAATCGTGTAGACTCGCATCCTCTGCGGTAATGCCTTCGATCTCCTGGGACCTGGAGGCCCTTTATCCTCTGTACAGGTTCATTCAAATCTTGATGTAATTCGTGTGGATGCTCGCGCGCTATTGTTGCGTGAAGAGACGGATATGTGCCGCCATAGTTCACTATTGTGTCGACCGTACGCTTATGAATTAATTGCTTGCGGGGTCTCGATGGGTCGCGCGGATCCGATCGTCGCGCAATCCCCTTCGATCTCTATTGACGACCGACCGACATACATCTTCCCGGTGTAATCCGACCGGATAAAACTTCTGATCCGAGTTACGATGCCGTTAACATCCCGCAGAGAATACAAAACTCACTTGCCGTATCCGCTGTAAAGAGCGCAGGGTACACATAAATGTTACGTTTGGATAAAAATATTGAGTTAACCGAGTTTTGTTTTCAAATGAAGATAACAAATGTGTCACATCAACGTGACAAGAAACGGCAATTCAACGTAAACTGGTCGAACAATCGCATTTGCGTCAGTTTGTAAAAGCAAAGATCTAAAACTTTGATGTTGAAGTGGTCTTTTACAAAGTTGGAAAAGCGTCCAGGTATGACATCGTAATGCACCGAAGAAAAATAAGCAAAAGAATCGGCAAAGTCGATAAGCAGTGTTGGGAAAGCGGTAGAGAAAGAAAAAGAGAGAGAGAGAGAAACAATGAAAAGGATGGACGAGGAGTGGTATCAACAAGACATCATAAATAATTGAAGCGCCACGTGACTTGAGAGGAAGACGAGCGTCGTTACTTTTCCAGACCGCCTTTTTTCGGTCCGAGAAAGAAAGATGTTCATTTTTTATGCGGCTTACGTGAGTTCTCCTCGGATCTTTTTCCGCTTGCTCGAAACTTTAAATCGCACCAGAGACATGTATCCGCTAGACGATTCGATAAGAAGCTTTTTCCGCGCTCATTAGACATGCAACATAGACAGACGGGCGAGCGCGCCAAGTCTACCGTCGAAGAATGAAATATATCGAAGCGGAGAAGGGAAAGATCGTTACGATCGCAAAAGATGCGAAGCGAAACGAAGATCGACGGGGAGGGAAA